GCCCCCCCCCCCCCCCCCCCCCCCAGAGAAATTTCCTAGCTACGCCCCTGTACGAGGGACTATTAAGAAAACAGCTATGTAAGGTGTGAAAACCATTCTTCGATGGACCGTTTTTCATTTTATCATAACATACGAGTATACGAATAATAAAGTATACTTCACCGAGTACGCACATAGGAGCTTTTTCAAAAAAAGGAATTCGGTAGCGATAGGTACATGACAATTAAATAGCTATTCCAAATTAAAAAAATTTGGTAATGAAAATTGGTCAAAAAGAGTTGTCAGAACAGACGATCTCATGGCGATAAATTGGAATTAAATGACTATTTCACATCCCAAATTCGAACATGACTACCACGAGCTACATATATTTACAGCAAGTTTGTATTTCACATGTAGATTAAAATTGATTATAGATGAAGTGTCATAACAATAAATAGACAATGAGGAGACTGTAAGTAGCTTATTAATCACTTTCGGATGTATGGGTGAACCAAGTTTACAAGGTACGTTTATCTAATATCGAATATGATAAACTCCGTTCATAAAATATATGAGTCGGAACCCTGATAGCAGATTTATATAAAAAACATTTTAACGAAAGTATACCACTCATATAACGGTTATATAACGGTTAAGTAACGGGATGTTCATAAAGGAAACCGCCGCCGTATAACCGTTATTAATCAAATAATGTTATAAATTGCGCGAATAACCTTTATAATTAGTTTTTATAAAAGTTATTCGCAAAAATGTTTTGTATAACCGTTATACTTCAGCTAAACATCTTTTATATAAATACGCTCTTTATATTTATTTTATTCAGGGTGTACCAAAAGTCCGTCCCACCCCTGCTAACTTTTGAACGAATTGAGCTAGGGTAATGAAAATTTGGGAATCCTATCTCAAAGGGGACCATCTTTTGAGGGGGTCAAAATTTTTGTCCCCCCTCCCAACTTTTTTTTTTCAAATGGCAACCCCTATCTTATGATATCTCATTCGAAAGAGCATAAAAAACTAAGAATTTTGGCGCAAATCGCAGATCAATATCTTAATTTTTGACCGAGTTATGATAGGTCGAAGGTCAAATTTGACCTATTTTCAAAAAATCATAACTCCGGTTCAAATTATCGTAATGAAAAAAATAAAACGGGAAAATTTACCAAATTGTAAGCACATTTAAGTAAAAATCACAGACATTACTTCAAACTAATTTTAAGGGGGGTTTAGGACCCCCAAATACGTCAATTCAAAGGTCATTCAATTTTCCCGCGAAATAAGCCAGTTCCCCCCAGATTTGCCTCCACATTAGTTCAGTAAGGTCAAAATCAGTTCAACATTACGTTGGCAACTCCCCAAATTTCGGGAAAAGTTAAAAAAGAACGAAATTAAAGGTGATTAAATTTGACAGTTTAAATTTTTTTTTAACTTTTCCCGAAATTTGGGGAGTTGCCAACGTAATGTCGAACTGATATTGACCTTACTGAGATAATGTGGAGGCAAATCTAGGGGAAATTGGCTTATTTCGCGGGAAAATTTAATGACCTTTGAATTGACGTATTTGGGGGTCCGAATCCCCCCCTAAAATTAGTTCGAAGTGATTTCTGCAATTTTTACTTAAGAGCGAATACAATTTGGTAAATTTTCCCGTTTTATTTTTTTCTTTACGATAATTTCAACCGGAGTTATGATTTTTTGAAAATAGGTCAAATTTGACCTTTGACCTGTCATAAATTAAAAAATTAAGATATTGATCTGCGGTTTGCGCCAAAATTCTTAGTTTTGTATGCTCTTTCGAATGAGGTATCACAAGATAGGGGTTACCATTTGAAAAAAAAAGTTGGGGGCCCCCGCCTTCCTGAGGGAGGGACAACAATTTTGACCCCTCTAAAAGGTGGTCCCCTTTAAGATAGAAACATTCCCAAAGTATCGTTTTTGTATCTCTAACCGTTGGAAAGTTACGAGGCGGGGGAGGGGGTACGGACTTTTGGGACACCCTGTATAAATACGCTCTTTATATGAATTGCATTTTGCAAAAAGGAACCACTAGCATTGCAATGTTACTAAGATTGTGCAACTTCTTTTGTCTTGGAGGAAAAACCCGATTATCCCTCAATAGTTTCTATTTTACTCGCTAAAAACTGTAAATTTAAGACAAAAATTACCATCTAAATTTCATAGTTTTTCACAATTTCCGCAATTTATTGCAAGGGCTGAAGTTGCACAATCTTAGCATCATTGCGATGCTAGTGGTTCCTTTTTGCAAAATGCAATCCGTAAAATGGTTATACTTCGTTTATATACTGTGAATTTAGCTCTGCTACTGTGGAAGAGAATAAGAAATTATGAGTCCGAGATAGGGGGAAAATGATTCCATTTCAATCCTCTTTGAATCGATTGGGGACGGGACGGTAGTGGGAGTGTTGGTTCGAAGTAGCACGTCATTCTACCCCAGCGACACCCTTTCCCTACCATCTTACTGCTCGATTCCCCTCCTCTCACTCCGTGGTTAAATTACGCGACCAGTGACCCAGTGAAAATCGTTATGTTTAAAAATATCTACTACGAAATAAAAGTTTTTTGTGTCTCCTAAATAATTTGGTTTTCTGGACATGTGCTCTTTTTGTATTTAGTGATTCAGTTAACGTCTAGAGGGGACGAGATGTATTCACCATTCTATATCAGCGCTTTATCGTTATACATTTTTTGACAAGCAAAAAAATGGCCATCACTTTTAAAATAAGAAGGAAATTTTGTGGGATTTCAACCGAAAAAATGTAAAAAGTCGGCGACCGGGCGCGTGAGAATGTGGAGGCTTGGAAGATTCTGAACCCCTATACTACTTTGTACATTCCCGATTGTCCCCCAGATTGTCGCGCCGGTTTTGGAGACAGAAGGCCAGATTGTCGTTGGTATGGTTATGCTCATATGACTACCTACATATGACTGGAGGTTGCGGTGTCGCCGGATCTCGCTCGACGGTTTAGGTTACGTGAGAGAGTTAGGTGTGTTTTCCTCGGGAAATCTGAATTTGGCACCCGCGCATTTTTTTTCTTTGTACGCCTTAAAACATGCATGCTTGTGCGGGAAGCATGGGGTCGCAGATTTGATGGTCTTGGGGGTAGTTCAATAACCTTATTTACCAATAGCGACCCGTTCGTACTTGGGTTTGGGTGGGGGGCAAAATTTCCCTCAACTTTTGAAACTGAGCCCCTAATTTTACCATGGGGCTTCGGGACCATGAAAGTACGATTCCTTGGGGTCGATTACCTGGTAAACCACCTTTATCCGAAGAAACTGCGTCAATTTTTGACCAAAAGGGAAATTATGGAGGGGGCTGCTGTCCAAAATACCTTTAAATTAACTTAATTTTCCAGGAGTTTGACAGACTTTTTCCTATTTTGGCTTAAATAATTCAGTAGCCACTGTTTTTCAAAAATCTGATAAGTTTTTGCTTGGAACAGATCAAAAAACTTACCTAAACTCGTTCGAATGGGTTTCTACGTTTACAATGGACAGTCTTGTCGAGGTGCGTGGTTGACCTCACAAGTGTTTGATCGTGAATTCCCTTCATGTGATGCTTGCCTATATTAAAATCTCAGTAAATGAGAACTAATCAGGTTGGTTCATACGCGTCAACGAAGCGACGCGCCTTATCAACACATTGTGTTGGAGTTCACTGCTTGTTTTCTGCTATTTTCTACCACTCAAATTATAAATTACCCAATGCTGAGAAGCATTGAAACAATGGTGTAAGAAGTTCTAGATTGGAAGATTGTGAGATGAAGACATTGGCTGAAAAATGTCATAAGGTTGCGTTCCGTAAGGGGAAAGATTTGTTGGGTTTGTCAAGGTGTAAAGTAAAAGAGAAAAAAAAAAGCCTCGTGTCCGAAATTTCATATGAGTCACGGAAAAATAAATTGACAAAGAAAAAGAAATACGCAGTTGCGAAATTTCCCCTTTTCCGACGAAGTACGCACGCACCGAACTCTCCGACGGCTGAGGAAGATCAGGCGACACCGCAACACTTGAACACTCGAGGCGGTAGGTGGCCATTGTAGAAACAGACAACCCATCTCCAACAACCCGGCGACCGCTCCGGCCGCCGTTGCAGATATCGGGGTAGCCTCGGCGGCTTAGGGGCTCCCCGTTGCGCCCCCGACGCCGAAGCCAGCTGAATGCCCGCACCGCCGAATGCTGTGCCTTGTGTTTTACCTTGTGGATCGCTATTTCGCCCTTGAATAAATTAAAGTGTTCGCAGCTAATTTTACCAAAACTAAACGCGATCGCAATGATGTCCACCTATAGTCCGAGAGCCAGACGACTTTGAGTGACAAACTCGGGATACATGTTTTGACCCCCTAAATCGATAGCCTTGCATGCACTGAAACGGAAAATTTTTGTCTGCCGCCCTCTAGCCTGTGCCATCACCCTCATCTAGGTCCTCAAAGTGGTCCAAAAAACACCATCTGGTGACAAACTCCTGACGCTCAGTGCGGTTGCAGATGTACTCCTGTGAGCAGCTTGTGTAATAAAGTTTGAATGATACATCATTCTCTTCGTTTTTTCGTGTAGAATCCGATTTTCGATGTTGTCAAGTCCAAAAATGATGCTGGTGCCCCCAATTCAAGATGGCGCCCAAAATGGCCGCCCCGGGGGTCAAAATTCCAAAATTTGAGAATATTGTCGAGTTTGGTATCCATTTATATGTAATTTTGGTCGTAGAATTCATATCTGGTGTCAAAAAATAATTTCAACCCCTTAGGGTCCGTCAAATCCAAGATGGCGGCCAAAATTTCAACTTTAATGATAATTACCCAAGA